CACACACACACACATACACACACACACACTCTCTCTCACACACGCACACACACTCTCTCTCACACACGCACACACATATGCACACACACACACAATCTCTTTCACATCCTCCTCTAAACCACCAACAATCACACTTTAATTGGTAACTGTTGTTTAAGTGTTTAATTGTCTAAAGTCCAATTTAGTAAGTCAGTTTTAGTTTTATAGCACTTCATACAATAGAGACTGTTCAACGCAGCGAGTCCCTTGATCCTGGATATATGAAATCAATGTTATATTATTATATTAAATATTATTTAGAGAGGAACAGAGAAAGAAAAGAAAAGAAGAAGAGAAAAAAAAAACTTTAATATATACATAATCATATTTTCTTATTTAACTAGTTAAATAAATGAATCATTAAAGTAAATATATAATAAACAATTAAAAAGTAAAGAAAAAGTAATTATAGTAATAAAAATGTAAGAAACATGCAAATAAGTAAATGTTTTTTGTTTGTTTGTTTGTTTACATGGCTACACATTCGATCTATGAAGGCTCTATTATATTACTATATGGACAGAAGTTTTTGGTAACACTTTAGAATAAAGAACACTTATTCACTATTAACTACGATTTTTCTATCAGTAAACTATTAATAGTTAGTAAGGTAGTTGTTAGGTTTAGGTATTGGGTAGGATTAGGGATAAAGAATAAGGCATTAATATGTGCTTAATTAGTACTAATAAATGGCTAATATTCTAGTAATATGCATGCTAATAAGCAACTAGTTAAGAGACACTAAAATAAAGTGTTACCAAGTTTTTCTATTAAAAAAAAGGAGCGCTATTTGAGCCCAATTAGATATGATTATTAAAAAATAAGATCAGATGTTTTATCAAAGTATTATTATTTTTTATGTTTAGACACATAAGTGAAGCAGAAGGCCTTGTGACAGAAAAGAGTTTTCCTCTTGAAGATTTTTTTATATTGTGCTGAAAACAAACACGATCAGAACACTCTCATCATGAGCAGAAAACAAACTAGTAATTTTCAAGTTTATGTTATATTTCCTTGCCATCCACAGATAATTTCCCCAATTTTAACAATAGCCGTGTCATCTACAGCTCTTAATCACGCTTTAGTGTCTTTATAGAGAAGCAGCGCTGCTGACTTTTACTCTCCAGTCCATGCACCTCAGTGTTCGGTGAGCCGCTCTGTCACTTCACGTGGATTTCTGCTTCTTGGTGGAGTTTCTGCTGTTCCTAAACACGTCCACTCTCCAACAATACCACTTACAGCTGAGCGTGCAATATCTAGCAGGGATGAAATTACACAAACTGACTCATTGCAAAGGCGGCATCTTATCACAGCACCACGCTTGAGTTCACTGAGCTCTTCAGAACAACAGATTTTTTTTCAGAAATGTTTGTAAATGCTGACTGCATGGATAGTGCTTGATTTTATACAGCTGTGTCAATGGATCTGACTGAAACACCTGAATTCAATCAGTGTCCCAATGCTTTTGTCCATGTAGTTTATGATCTTTATATGAAAAGTTGATTATATATCAAAAAGTCTAAATACACACAAAGAACAAGAGATGAAAAAGTCTGTCTCTCTCTCTCAGCAGGAAGACTGTGTGTGTGTGTGTGTGTGTGTGTGTGTGAGACGTCAAAGCTGTTGCAAAAAGCTACAGAAGAGAGAGAGCTTTGTGCCTGGACAAACACACACACACACACACACACTTACTCTCTCTCTCTCACACACACTCTCATACAGAGTCAGCAGGCCTTAAACTGGCCAGTTTCTGCTGTGATAAATATTTAGACACACACACACACACACACACATCTATGTTCTGGATGATGAAGAAAATGTGGAACGAAATTGCAGAACATGAAGAAGTGAAACTGCCGCTCGGCCTTCAATCCAACTAGAAGAATCGGTCTGTCTCTCCACCAGTGACCACACTGTCCACTCACACACTCACACTCACGCTCACTCGCACT